TGGGGGGGGGGGGGTGTACTCATAGTCGTGCATGCCGTAGTCGTTAGACCATTGACCTCGCATCCCTACAAAGCCGGGACGGAGCACGCCGGGTTCTCACCGGACCAGGCTCTCACATCACCAAGCGCGAAGCGCCGTGAGGTATTTGGCGAGTCGCATGAAGGGTGAGCTGCATCCTGCTAAGGGTGTTCGGCATCTTGTGCTTACTTCCTTGCGTACGGATGACAGCTACGTATGACTTAATTTATTTTCTGGTGCTTTCACTTCCAGAGACAGTTGTAAGCACTGTGTAACTGCCTCGAGGAAGCTTGACCATTTTAACACAACGTGGTGCGATCATCCCCCGTTGCGCGGAGCGAGGTTTCTCGACCCCGCACAACATGATCTACTCGACCACCATTATGGTTACCGCCAAAAAAAAAACAGAGGTAAAAAAAAAAGACGGTAACCTGGTTGCCGAGTTCACGAAGTGAATTGGCTTGTTTTACAACGTCGTTGCCAATCGACGAAAACCCAATCCCGATGGCAAACACCGAGCGGGGGTTGGGGAGGGGCGTAATCGACGAGGACAACATGCACGGTTGTGTCGAGACACCAATTTTAGCGAGGGAAGAAAAAGGAAGCTCCGTGGACTGAATCCGCCAAGAGTGGCTAAGAGCTAGGCACACCAAAAAACAGCCGGCCGTCTCCAATGAGAGCGCCTGCGAAGATGATTCCTGGCAGAAAATCGACCCCTCCGCCAATATCCCCCCGTCCTCTTTTCTTGCCTGCGATGTGGCGATGTGCATGAGCTTGAGGCCCCGCAGCTTCTCTGGCAGCCCCGTCACCGTGTTCTCGCTGGACGGCCTGTCGGTGTAGCACGGGTCCCCTGGCTTGAAGTTCGGCTTCATCCTCCACCGGTGGTGCTCGCGCATGTCGAACTGCTCGTTTCAGGAGACACCAACAAGAGACGACACGACGACGTCAAGGTCAAGGCCAAGTCGACACGTCAGAAGACAAACTCTCCGTCGGAATGGGAAAAGACATCAGTCGGGTGCGGGGGGGGAAGGGGGGGGGGGGTCGTCTAATCCGAGAGGGGGCCGTCCGTGGGTAGAAGCGTGTGAGTGGCCGTGGAGCAGCATCGGCTACACGGGCAACAGACACGCACCCAGGCTCGGAAAAGGCGTGATTCGACGAGTGTACATTTACCAAGAACCCCCCGCACGCTTGCTTCGCTGCTTACAATCTTGCCGACGGAGCGGTGCATCGCCACGGGTCCGATGTCGACCTCCCCGACCGCCTCGCTCTCGGGGACCCTGACCACCACAACGAAGTACATCGCCGCGGGGCCCCCCCTCCTCTCCGAGACCCCGTCGCCGTCGTGGTCCAGGTTCTGCCCCAGCGGCACCACCGACAGCCCGCGGCAGAAGCGCGAGTAGAGGCCGAAGCCCTGGGGGGCGAGGTCCGCGGGCTGTACGTCCGTGACGGACACGTCCAGGCCCTCGCGGCGCTCGAAGCCCTGGAGGGCGAGCCACTTCGGGGGGCCCGGGTCGGCCGCTAGCAGGCGCTTGTCCAAGCCGATGTAGACCCTTCGGGTTATAAGAGCGGAAGCATGGGGGGGGGTGGAGGGGGGAGGTTGGCGCGATCGGGAGTTGGTAGGGTCTGGTTCAATGTCAGGGAAGAGGCGGGGTTTGCGGGGCACGTGAGGGCAAGCACTGTCGGCCGAACGCGCGTTTCTCCGACCGTTTTCATCCTGAAACGAAAAGTGTGGAACAGACACACACCGCCGCGGACCCGACACGCACAGCCGGGTGAATATCCAACCCTTCGCCGCCTGCTGTTCTAAGCCGTATGCGACTGAACAGGACCTGCCATTGTGGCACACAATTACACGCGGCTGCAACAAGGAGAAAAACGACCGCTACTCAACGTATTGGTGCCATGCCACCAAAACAAACCTACCACGCAAGCCATTCCGTTCGTTCCACCACCGTCAACCGCACCATCCGCTCTCCCGTTCCGTACCAAAAACCAACCACCACAGCGTATGCTGTCTCACCTGCAGTCTCTCGAGGGCGTGAAGGTGACCGACCCAGTGTCCGAGCGCAGCGTCAGCAGGTGCACCCTCCTCCTCCGCTCGGAAACCACCTCTTCTGGCAGCCTCACTCTCGCCGGGGGGTAGTCGCAGTACAGGGGCCAGGAGGAGGACTCAGCGCCGCCGCCGCCGCCGGCATCGGCATCGGCATCGGCATCATCAGCGGCGGGGACGGTCAGGCACGGCAGCGGCTGCTCCGACTTGGAGGAGCGGGTCTCGGAGAGGAGGAGAGCAGCCCCCACGGCAGAGTCGGCCATGGCGTACGGCATCGTCTGGAGGGTGTTGGCGCGGCACGTCAGCATGAGAGGGAAGCCGGCCTCGCCGCCGATCTCGCTGGCGGTGGCACCGCCTCCGCCGGTCTTGTCCCCGCCTCCGAAGCTCTTGCACCTCTTGGCGCCAGTCATGTACCTGTTTCGTTGCACGTGTTGAAAGCGAACGGCAAGGCCCAGTTATGGTTTCGGGGCGCGAAGAGCTTGGCAGAGGGACCACTAAAGATAGACGACGAATTCTGTGGGAAGGGGCAGCGCAAAGTCGACGTGCCGACGCCTGCGGAGACTTGAGGTTACGACACCGAACCCCGCTGCCTTCGAAATGGCAAGAGTACTGCCGAGTCTACCCCCCACCCCACCCCGCCGCCGCTCTCTCCGGCACCAGTTACCTGGAGAAGAGCATGGTGTCACCGTCCGTGCGGTAGCTCGCGTTGTAGGGCCGGCGTACGAAGACCTTCTCCTTACGGTCGTCCTCCTTCGTGGGGATGCTGGCGCGGTAGGCGAGAGACACGCCCGTCTTGTTGAGCACCCATACCTGGCGCGACAACAAAAACACAACGCCAACAAGAGTCATTTGAAGACAGCAACCGCAACAACTAATAATGACGACGACAACAACAACGACAACAACAGCATTGACACAAACACAAGTCTTCGTTTTCACACCTTGGAGTAAAGGTGGATGTGCCTATTCCCGGGGGTGTGTTCCCAAACCGCCCCAAACTTGAATTCGGGCCTTCTCGCCCCACCGGACCCCCGCGCCCCGTGCGAGAACACCGCCTCCTTCGACTTCATCCTGTTGAGCAGCGTGCGGTTCGTGTGTCGCTTGGCCTCGATGATATACGACTTGCAGAAGTCACTGCGCACGACAGCGGGACGAGAGAGAGAAGGGACGCGGGGGAGGGCAACGGGGGGCGGGTCAGGGAGGCGATCGTACTTATGCAAGTGGCCAACCTCAACACCAACAAAAATGTTACCAGAACACGCTGGCCGACGCCAACACTAACGGCGACGACAGCGCGTCACGATCCCCGAAGACCACTTCGACACAAACTACATTGTCAAAGAAGGCAACCACGAAATCTCCGCCAAGTGACTCCTGCCTCCCTATTCGCGCCACCGCCGTACAATTTACACAATAACGTACCTGCAGGAAGAGCTACCATCCGCCGGGGCGAAGCCGACCCTCAGTCGCAGGTGCCGGGTCGGGTCCATGCCCTCCAGCTTGGCCTCCTCGCCGCTCTTGAGCACCCACATCACCCTGCCGTTGTTCGGCGGCCCTCCTGCCCCCGCTCCGGCCACAACAACACCGCCGCCGCCGCCGCCGCCGCTGGCGGCGCCTATCGCCGACAGCCGATCCAGCTCCTGCTCCTCCATCTCCATCTCCTCCTCGTCGTGCTGCTCGAGGTCCGTGTCCGTGTCGTCCGTCGTAACCTCGTCGTCCTCGTCGTCCTCGTCGTCGTCGCTATCCGAGTCGAGCTTGCTAACCTCTTCCGCGCCGCCGCTACCGCCGCTACCGCTACCATCGCCGCCGCCTTCGCGGAACGGTGCGCCGCCGGAGCCCTTCTTCCAAGACTTGGGGGTGAACCTGAACTTGGAGCCGGACGAGGCGGAGGAGCGGGGCCTCGCGGAGCCGTCGCTGTCTCTCTTGGGGCTCAACCTATCGTTCCACGTGCCGAGGGGTATGTGCACATGTTTGCGGAATCATTTGTCGTGGCCCCCCAGGGAGAGAGAAAGAAAAGAAGGGAGAGGCGGAGACAGACCGGGTGGATGAACACACAGAGCACAAAGCAACCCGAACGAGCACAACCGCACCCGTGTAGGCTACACGTAGACAACTCTTCCTCTGACACTGCTGTACTCTACTGTACGCGTTTTCGACGTCGACGATAGCAAGACTGGCGTGACACAAAGATATGTGGCACCGGTTGAGGTGGGGTGGGCTGGATGCATACGCGAGCGAAAAAGTGCGGTTGAGTGGTGGGGAATAGGGTACACAACTGCAGGCAGCAGGGGAGGGGGGTGAATATTACAACGTGAGCAGGAAGAGCGGAGCGGGGGTGCATAAGGGAACGGGCGACTGGGTGTCCTCGAGCCCAAAACCGAATACCGTAGGTGACACGACATACTGGTATCACACCTCCTGAACCACTTTTCAATGGACCACTTTTCAAAGCTCCGTTTACTCCACAGCAGAAAGAGTGGCCATGCCGAAAATGGCATCGCGTCGGAACTGCATTGTCGAGAGCGCTAACACCGAGAAGGCATCGTTTGACCTACCCACCCTCTAGGCCGCAGAGTAATCGAGCTTGGAAAGTCGGGCCATGGGGAGGAGTGATATCCTACATCACGTTACGACGGCTTCAAGGACACATGGCACGCTTATCTCCCTCACCCGAGCTTTTTCAGCGATAGGCGGCCCTTCAAGCTACGTCCGGCGCTTGCAGACAGGCCTCCGCCGCCGCTGCTCGCGGGCCCGGGAGACTCGAGCACGGTATCCAGGGTGGCGTTTCCCTCCTCCGCCAGCGGCTGCGACGCCCACACCACGACGTCGCAGGCGAGGCCGTTCTGAACCACGTACGGCGCCCGCGTGTACAGCCGCCACAGGGCCGGGGCATCGTCTCCGGAGCCGTGCATGACGAGTCCGGGGGTAGGGGCGAGGTCCGCGCGTTCGACGGAGACGCCGTTGACGAGCATGCTGTGGCGGAGCAATGTGGGGGGGCGTGGTTGATTCGATGATGAAGTTGATTTGAGTCCCCACGTGCGTGTATGTTGTTGGTTTTAGTTGTTCTGCCGAAGGAGTTGTTCAGTCTTGAAGGCGCGTCGAGTTTGGCATTTAGCGAGATACCAAGGGCAGGTAGTCCACACACAGTCCTCCCGAACACAGCGGGCTAGCCAGCCTGTAGACCCAGACGAAAGGGACGTCATCAAAAAAACATACGTATTAAATAGACAACGACGACAACAAAGGCAACAACATACGTGAACAACAGCACTACCAACTAGAACAACAACAACAACAACAACAACAACATCATCAACGGCAACGCCGAACTAAACCTCACCCCTGTGAGTGTCTCTCCACCACCCTCTTGTTACGGTCGAACGTATTCGGCGAGATCTCCACCGACACCTCATCCCCCACGCCCACCGCCGCCGCCTCCGATGCCGCTCCATCCCACCCGCCGGACCCATACCGGTCGGCGCTCTTGGTCGACGAACCGAGGCCAACAGCACCAGAACCTCTCTTGCCTCCGGCCTGTCTGTCCGCGTCAGCCTGCAGCGCTCTCTTGAGGGCCTCGCCTCCGACAAGGGTTCGTGGAGACTTCCACAGCCGCAGGACCTGTTCGGGGAAGATGGGTAGGCAGGTAAATGGTCGCTCTCGCGGGTGTGCAAGGGTCATCCTCGTTTGGTTTCCAGAAATACACAACACGGTTGACAATTGAAGCAACGAAATACCTCCGGAATAGTGTGCGTGTGTCGGCTTATTCATTGTGTTGTTTTCAGAAACACTACCCGGTGCGTGGCAACAGTCGATAAACACAAGCCTCTCCATAATCTTTGTGCTCATGCCATTGTGTTTCCAGCACCAACATCCGATGGAATGTTGACAATCGAAACAACGCATGCCTCCACAATCTTGGGCGTATCGGCTCATTTGTTTGGGAGAAACAGCACCCCATTCATGTTGAAAACTGAAACAACTCCGTCAACGTCTTGTGTGTATCGACATGTACAGCACACAGCAGTGGGAACAATGTCAAGCAAGATTGTCGAAAGCTAGTCATGCAAAAACAAACTAAACCCGTCATCTTGCTGCCAGACATCTACATGTTGCACTTGCCTTTCCACGGAGCAGCGGCAAAGGGAGACAGACCTCCGCGTCTACGGGCACGAGCGTGTTGGGGTGATTCTCGTTCTCTGGGCTGAGGGCAACGCGCAGGGGCCTCGGCAGGTCGTTCTTTAGGGCAACCTGTTGAAGTGGAA